TTTTTTTTGGAGAGATTTTCACTGTAGGGCGCGTGCGCTCGCCAGACAGACAGAGAGAGACATAGAGACAGAAAGCGAGAAATCACCCCCCAGGGGGGATGGTCACGCCGCAATCCCTTCTCCTCCATTCTCCTCTCGGGATCTTGGGCACGCACGCACACGCGCCCGGCGTGAGTTTTAAGCCACCGGGTCCAGGACTCGAACCGCAGTCGACTTCGTGGGAGTCCAGCGACATAGCCATTACGCTAACTGCTGGTTCCCTAAATAAAATAATTCTTAAAAAAGAAAGAATTGCCGTGAAGAACAATGTGACCACGATGTGCTTGCTATGCTCACGGTTCGAACAATCTTAGTTATTATCTCCCTAGAAGGTTTTTTGGGAGCCCTTCTCAAAAACCACGCAGTTCCATTTGCCGCGGGCTTGGGAGTGCCAGGAGCTTTGCCATTACTGGTCGTCATGGCAGTGGCGGGGATAATGACAATACTAGCCAAGGGTTATTGCCGAGAGCTTTACCTGTATTAACTCATTATTCCTCCCAGCAGCCCACGAGGCAGACACTACCGACTTTATTTGTGCTGTCAGAGGCACATGGGCTTGCCAGAGAGACACAGAGACAGAGAGACACAGAGACAGAGAGGGAAAAGCATCCCTTCTCCATTTCTCCACCCTGTCACGACCTGGGGTCTGCATGCACACCCACCTGGCATGTTTTTCAAGCCACAGGACTGGAGTCTGGCCCCCGAAGGCCATGGGGCCAGCCCTCGATACTGTTCATTACTGTGTCCAACTTACAAATGAGGGAATCGAGGCAAAGTGAGATTAAATAGCTTGTCCGAGGTCATAGCTGCTAAGGAAGGGCTGGGATTTGAACCAGGCCTTTCTCTGCCCCAGTGAGACCAGGGCTGCACACGGGCTTTCCAAGCACACAGCACAGTGCACACGTGTGGGGAGGACACATGTCAGCTACTGGGTACACGGCAGGTGTCCAACGCAGGCTGACGGGGGACGGAAGCCAGGCCAGGGGCCCTCCCCGCTTCCCCCCGACAGAGGGCCCTACCTGAGGGTGCAGTGCATTCCACGGTCCCAGGGTTGGTGCTGCTATTGAGCTGGACAGAGTCGGGGCTGGGGCTGAGGCTGGAGGTGGAGGGGAGGGCATCCTTGGCAGGGCTGTCCGGTTCCTGCACCTCCTCTGGGCACAAGTAGACTTCGATGGGCCCTTGGGTGCTCTTCAGATATATCTGCAGGTTTTCCTGGAAGGGCAGAGAAGCCGGGTCACGGCTCTAGGCAGCGCAGTGTGTGCGGACAGCCACATGTGGCTGCCACCGCCCATGTGTGCCAGGTGATCCCTGAGCGGACGCCGAGGCCTATTCTGTTTGGCTGTGGGGAATGTCCACTGTCTGCTGCCTGGCCCTCGAGTCTCCTTCTTCTTCTTTCTTTTTTTATTAGAGATTTTTCCCATAGGGCACACATGCTCACCAGAGACAGAGAGCAAGCGAGAGATCACTCCCGGGGGGCACGGCCATGCCACGATCCTTCCTCTATTCTCAGAACTTTGGGCACACATACACATACACACACCCCGTGCTTTTTACATCTCAGGATCCAGGACTCAGACCACAGTCAGTCGTGAGTTCATGCCTTAAACCACCACGCCCCCGGCAGGCCCCTGAGAACATCTTGAGGCCAGACGGTGGTACCGTGGTAAAGGTGACACGCGGAGAAGCCGACCCGCATGAGCTTTCTGGCTCACTTCAGATCTCCCCAGCACCCGGGGCACACTGTGCCCGTGACCTGGGGCTGGCCGAAGCTGGGCGTGGAGCGCAGCATCAAGAGCCTGTCGGGGGGTGCTGTCTTGCTCACTCATGGTGGAGGTAAAACGAGTAAATACAGGCTCCGCCCCAGAGCACAGTGGTGAAACACAGTGCATTAGGAGCCAGATTGCACGTAGACAGCTGGGTTCGAATCTTAACCCTGGCAGCTAGAAAAACACTGGGCCCTTGTGCGTGCGTGCCCCAAATCCTGACCGCGTGGAGCGATGGAGGGAAAAAGAGTGCAGCAGGGCCACACACCCCCTCTGGCAAGTGCACACACACTCTAGCAACGGAAGGAAAAATAAATAAGTAAACTTAAAAAAAATTTGCAAGAGGGAGAGAGCACCCCTCAATTTTCCTCTGGAAAACCACTCCCCCCACTCTCAGACCATGTCCTTTGTGGGGGGTGAGCGCGGGACACAGCGGGGAAGCCGAGGCGATGTGACTGCCTCAGGGTGCCACCTGGTTTAGGTCGCTCCCACCAGCATGGCGCCCAGGGCTTTTGCTGCCCTCCCTACAAGGCCTGCTAACATGGAATCCTGAAGCCTGTCTCCCTACAAGCAGGGACAGAGGGGCACAGGGGCGGGCACAGGGAGGGCAGAGCGTGAGGCACCTGAAGTCAACTTGAGCCTCTGCATCCGGCCCGGCTCCCACTCCCCAAACTTCCTCCCTGGACGTGACTCTTGGTTCCCACCCCTCCGCCCCTTGTTGAAGCCAGTCAGACAAATTTCTTTGTAATTAGTTAATTAACTTATTTCTTGGGGTTAAGCAACTCATGCAAGGTCACAGTTGGTCAGTGGGAGAGCTGGGACTCAAAGCAGGCCTCTGGGCTCTGCGCTGCCACCCCCTCAGTCTGAGCCAGCCTGTCAGAGGCAGGTACACACGCACGTGCCGGTGTCAGGAGGCAAACCCACAACCTTTTCTGAACCAGCTCAGTGGCCTTACTGCTGCACCGCCACCTGGCCCAGAGAGGTTTTAGCTATAGGGCACGTGTACTTGCCAGAGAGGTAGACAGACAGAGAGACAGAAAGTGAGGAATCACCCCTGCAGGGGAATGGCCATGTCTCAATCCCTTTTCCTCTATTTTGGGCTCGCATACAGGGTCCAGGACTCGAACCACAGTCGTCCATGTGGGAGTCCAGCAATGTAACCATCATGCCAACTGCTGGTCCCCAGACTGGGCTTTCCGATACCCATAACCAAGAGTCCTGACCCTTGGCCCTGCTTCTTCCTCACCACACACCAGCGACTAAAGCCACAAGGCGCACAGGAACCCAGGCTGCTGGGGTGCGGGAAGAAGCCAGAACTGATTTTCTCAGGCCAGGACTTAGTCTCCACCGTCCTTTCCCGCCTCCGCCATCTCTGTCCCAGCTTGGAGGCCACCAGTATTGCAAAGGACCCAGGAAGTGTGGGGCTGGGTAGCACCAGGAACAGAGCCCACAGAGCTGCTTCAGACCCCCGCCCACCCCCGGCCCTACAACCCCTACCTCCACTGACGCTTCGCCTCTCACCTCAGGCCTGTCGGGCACTTCCAGCCTCGTCTGTGGAGGGGCCTTGACAGCGATCACCGTCTGCTCCTTAAAGGTGCCGACAGCACGGATGTCCTGGTAAGTCACGTAGGCCAGTGTAGGAGCAGGAGTCAAGAAGTGTCACGGGTCAAAGTTCAAGGCCCAGCCTGCCAGGGCCTTCACCCAGCTCTCCTAAGCCTGCGAGCACTACTTCCGTCTACCCAGCTCGGCAGCAACAGCAAACCGTTACCTGTTCCTTTCATAGCAGCTACCTTGGGGTCCCCTCCCTTTCTTTAAAAGTTTATTCACTCTTCTTTCTTGAGAGAAAGAGAGGAGAGAGGCACCCCTAATGGGGTCTCCATGCCAAAATCCACCCCGGCCTCACCCAGCCTGGAACAAGGACATGCACAGGGAAGGCCTCACGATTCGAACCCAGGGCCTTCCCATGGAGGGCCAGCATCAAGGAACAGGGCATGACTGCTGTGCCGCTATTCGGCCCGTGGGTCCCTTCAGAAAGCAGAAGGGCATGTAAACAATGCTCACAGCGCTGCCTTAGATCAACCGTGAGCGTAAAAGCTTAGCTCTGGAGCCAGGTCCGCGGGCCTGAGAAGACAGGAAGACATCTTTACACTTCTCACAATGCCTAGAATCCTTGCGGAAACACAAGGTGAGAGCCAAGAACCAAGGAGGTGTGTAATCATTTGGGAAGATGTATCACGCAGCCTTAGCCAAGGTCATGCTCTTTGACCTCACTTCAGCCCTAGGAATTCGACCTGGGAAATAGTAAAAATGTGGGAACGTGTCCTATATTCGAAGATACTCATTTCTATGTTGCTTACCAAAATGGAAATCTAGGGGACCAGCAGATAGCATAATGGCTAGAGTCGCTGGACTCCCATGTGGTCGATCACGGTTTGAGTCCTGGACCCAGTAGCTTAAACTCACGCCGGGCGCGTGTGCGTGTGTGCCCAAGGTCCCAAGAGAATGGAGAAGGCACTGTGGCATGACCATCCCCCTGGGGGGTGATTTCTCGCTTTCTGTCTGTCACTCTCTGTCTTTCTGGTGAGCGCACATGCCCTATAGCAAAAACCTCTCAAAAAAAAAAAAAAAGGAAATCTAGAATTGACTAAATTTCCATTCTAGGCCTTATCAGCAAACCAGAGTATACTATGAGTAGGACAATATCAAACCGTTTTAAATATGAGTTTAAAAGATATAATATTGCACCTTTCTTTCTTTATTTATTTTTGCTATAGGGCACTGCGTGAGAGAAACAGAGTGACAGAAAGTGAGAAATCACCCCAGCAGGGATGGCCATTCCTAAATCCCTTCTCCAGTCTCCTCTCAGGATTGTGGGCATGTATACATATGCACACAGAGTTTTTCAAGCTCCCAGGTCTGGGACTCAAATCGCAGTCAACCATGTAGAATCCAGCTGCCTTAACCACTACGCCATCTCCTGGCCCTGAAATTATTTTACAGGTAAAAAGCGGACAAACATTAGCAATTTCATGTGGGTCAACCAAATAATGAGGAAGCATAATAAGAACATAGAAAAAGTACCTATGGTAATAAAAGGTGACTTCAAAAGTTTGTAGAAATGAAAGTAAACTATGAGTTTATTTTAGTGCAAAAAAACCAAAATCTAAAAATCTGGGACTAGCAGATGGTGTAATGGTTATGTCGCTGGACTCCCATGTAGTTGACTGGCATTCAGGTCCCAGATCTGGCGGCTTAAAACTCACGCCAGGCACATGTGTGTGCATGCCCCAGATCCCAAGAAGAGAATGGAAGAGAAGGGATTGCGCATAACCTTCCCGCCTGCGAGGGGGGGTGTGATTTCTCGCTTTCTGTCTCTCTGATGAGCACATGCACCGTACAGAGTGAAGAAAAAAAAAAAACTCTTAAAATAAATAAATAAATAAAAATTAATTAAATAAATAATCCATGCATGATTTTTTCATAATATGCATTTTCCATAACTTTTTCTTTATTCAGGTTAGAGTGCACGCATGCACACATGAGAGCGACCGAGACACAGATGAGCACCCTCTACAGGGTCTAGATCCCTGATCCGCTTCCTTATTTTCCAGTCCATTAAGAACCTGGATGCTTTGGGACCAGCAAATGGCATAATGGCTACATTGCTGGACTCCCACATAGCTAACCGTGGTTCGAGTCGCAGACCCCGCGGCTTAAACTCACAACGGGCACATGTGCGTGCGTGCCCAAAATCCCGAGAGGAGAATGCTGAAGGGATTATGGCGTGGCCGTCTTCCCTGGGGGGTGATCTCGCTTTCTATCTCTCTGTCTTTCTGGTGAGTGCACGTGCCCTATAGCAAAAACCTCTTAAGGAAAAAAAGAAAAAAACACCTGGGTGCTGGGCATATTTCGGCCGACCAGGCTGGGCATTTGAACTGTAGCCACCATGTAGGATCTAGCTTTTCTTGAGCAGGGCACTCCTCCTGCTCTATGGCTCCACCCTCGTGAACTTCTCAAATAGGTAGAGAAAAGCAGTATAAAAAATGCTATGGGACCAGCAGGTGGCATGATGGCTAACGCACTGCATTCTTATTGGCCAACCATGTCCCAGACCTGGTAGTTTGCTTTCCCGCTCTCTCTGGTGAGTGCACGTGCCCTACAGCAAATTAAAATAATAGTAATAATAATAAATAAAATTAAAGAATTATTTTTTAAAGAATGCTATGTACAGCAGGCATGTAATGATATTTACATAACACTGTGTCAAACACATGTGCACTATAGCAAAAAAAAAAAAAAAAACTCTCCAAGAAAAAGTAATGATAAATAAAACAAGTAGTTCTTAAAAAAAATAAAAGGTTAAAAAAAAAGTAACTTTGGGGCCAGAGGGTGGCATGGTGGTTAGGACACTAGACTCTCACATGATCAACCCCAGTTCAAGTCCTGGACCTGGCAGCTTGCTTTCTCACTTTCCTTCTCCCTCTGGTGGGCACACATGCCCTACAGCAAAATTAAAAAATAATAATAATAAATTAAATTAAATAATGAGAAAATAACTTTTAATAGACTTGCGAGAAAATCCACTGAGGAAGAAACAGAGGGCCAGACCCCTGGGATAAATCAGTCCCTGCAGGAGGTGCTGAATCAACCCTGGGCAGCTACAAACACGCCACAGTCCGCCCCAGAGCCCCCCACGGAGGAGGATATCTCTTGTTGGCCGTGTCCTCCGTCAGGTGCTTGAAGGTCAGGGTGCAGCTCTGGATGAGCTGGTCCAAGGTCTGCTCTGTGCTCATCAGCTCCTTCAGCTCCTGCCCCAGCTGCTGCTGCTTCCCAGGTCGAGCGGGGTCTTCAAACAGTCTCCTGCCTCTGGGAATAGAGTAGACGCCCATAGGGGTCAGTCTCCGCCCACATCCAGGGACCCCGGCCCCAGGACTGCTGCACGGAGCTGCACAGAAGCTGGGGCAGTGGACGCCGATGGTGCTCCCGGGAAGCCCAAATCAGTGCCTGCCTGGCTTCCACAGACCTGCCAGGGATTGGAACTTGAGTCTGGGGGCTGGGCTAGGGAGAACAGACACGTCAAGGCCTGAACCCCGCCCATCCATATGCCCCATATCGCAAATGGTGGGGAATTGGAGTGACCTCAGCCCTGACTCTCCCTGGATTCTCTGAGAGTTCCTGCCAGGGGCTGTAGTCTGCTCCTAAAGACCTCGTAGAAGTGGGGACAGGAGTCTGGAGTACTCTTTTTTTTTTTTTCTTTTTCTTTTTTCCTTATGGAGAGGTTTTTTGCTATAGGGCGCGTGCACTGGCCAGACAGACAGAGACAGAGAGACAGAAAGCGAG